ATATACTGTATATATATATATTTTTTTTTATTTTTTTATTTAGCATTAATATTTGGAATTAATATTTTGCACTGAAACTTTATCTTTAAATACATGTTAAGTAATTATTTACCTTTCCTAATCTCTTTTTTTACAAACTTTAGAAGCAATAGTGGATCTCATCACCACAACTAATCTTTGGCAAAGCCTTCAATAATCTCCACTTTTCAAACCACGATACTTACTCAAACATTAACTTGGCAGGTGGGGTCACAGACACTTTTATTGCTTTTAATATTTTGGAATGAAAAAAATACATCCCATTATCTTAAACTAATCAGTTAAGGTTTTCAATACTCCTAACAAAAGAATTCTGTGCATAAAAAAAATAATAATAATCTAATTAGAGATACAGGACGTTTGCATTACCCCATGAGTTTAAAAATAACTTTTACTGTATATACGTACATATATATTTTTCTTTTAAGGAATTTTACGACTAACATGAAAGATTTTATAGTACTGACAAAGAGTTATATGATTATCTGAAGATGGTCTTAGTTATATGATTTAATTAAACAATGCAAAACTCTGCAATATAGTTTATCAGGGTTTGACAGGGTTATTTACCTTTCATATTTCTTCCACCCTCCTTCTGCATTTCATGTTAAAGAATACTCATTTTCTCATCCGAGTGTTTTAACTAGAGTTGTAAAAATGTCACACATCCTGTTTGAATAGACCAAACTCGTCAAAGACATTTGCAAAGGTTTCAGCACATATGTCTTATTGTATGAGAAGATGTAAGAGCTGATTCAATATTTGCTTACTTTCCATTTGACATCAAACTATCCCACTGGCCAACACCCTTGTGGATGTAAACACAGCTTTTATGAACTGCAGACTGTCTACAAAGATGTAGCAAGTTTTGGGCTCCACAGACAAACTTTACATTCAGGTGAATCCTCAAGTAAATAATTTAATTTTTTCCAGAAAGAAACTTGCTCACACGTTTCTTTCAAATTTTATGCAAAATAACTTTTTGTTTTAATGATTTAAGAATGAAAATAAAAGGTACACCAATCTGCTTGGTCTTGATTTCGTAAAACCCCGTTAATGAAGTGTAACACTTTGTTTACACTTTCTACAATAAGGTAAAACATTTTTTGTGTGTTATGCTGATCTTCACCCATTTCACTAAAAGCCTTTGCAGGCTCCAAACAAGTTTATTTTCACGTGGTCACCTGTTGAGGTCACGGTCAGATTGTACAGGAAACATGGCTGTTATGCTTCAAATACACAAGACAAATTATGGATTTTAATAAATGTCCAGTACCAAATAAATTGAAATATTTTGGCATAATTGAAGATATTTAAAAAAAAATAAACTAAAAATATTATATATATATTTAATTTTAAGGCATACAAGCCAGTGGTATAAACTGGACAATTATAGCAATGAGAAAAGATAATGGATGGATGGATGGGTGGATGGATGGATGGATGGATGGATGAAGTACAAACTCTTGCTGCCCAGCCAAGGCCCTAAAATTAACAATTTAATAACTTTAAGCTGTTCAACTAAATCCTAATAGAATGATGGGTAAATGCGTATAGAGTTAATTCATTGTAATTTACTACAAAACCACTAGCAAATATAACATTTCCTTAATGAAAATAAATCTAAAATTTTATTTTTAGGATTTTTTTTTTTTTTTTTTACATTACAACTACTTAGCTGTGGTAAAAGTGTACACAACTAATTTTAGAGGGGCATTTTTAATAATTTGATTGGCATACTCAAATGTTAGTTTTATTTTTATCAGTAAGTGGAAGTAAAACAAAGAAAACTCTGCTCTCTGATGGATTCAACAGCAAAACATTGTGAGTGAGGCGCAATAAAAGGATACATATAAAGTCAGCAGGCTTGGAGTCTTGGATGATTTTAGTGTGACCGACAGGAACTTCTCCAGCTTACATTTCAACTGTGGTGTCCAGGAATCCTAAGCACAAAGAAACTTTTAATTAAAAATGTACTTGATAATAGCACTAATTAATATGTGCAAAAGTAAACTGAAAAAAAAAAAAAAATCTAAAACATTCTAAGCACCTGAAAGAGATCTTTGAAGGAGGGGTGAACAGTGGGGTTGGGAACAAAAGGTAAGGCATAATAAGGCAGAAACTCTGCGGTCTGGCTGAGTGCTGCTCCCCGAGTTTCAAGGTACTGCTTGAAGAGGGAAATCCTCTCCTCAAACTCAGCGCGGTCCTGGAGACAAATTTAAGACTTACCGTTAAATCGTTTATCTGAAGTCCAAAACAAAATATCATTTAACCTAATTAAATATTTTAAAACTTCTGTTTATCAGATCATTGTCTGGTAACAAAGCACAAACACATACACACCCATATGTTAAATTAGGAAGCAACTTTACCATAAGGTCAATCTTTTATAAGCAACTTTTGAGTTTGAAAAATTAAGTAATAATGTGGAGACCAACACAGTGAAAGACGCATGAAAATACAGAGCGTAGAAAAATGATCTTGTACAGTGTTTGGTCAAAAGTGCTGCACTTCCAACAGCACACAGTACAGCTTAGTGGACAGTTTGTAAACAGCATGTTTTAATGCCTTGAACCACTTTGGATATGGCTGCCTGCCTGGGAGGAGTCGATGGGGGACAGGACAGCCCCCAGAAACCATCTTAACACCAGCAAACTGGTTGGTCCACTAAAGGAGTGTACTGCTTAGTGGGGAAAACAGTTTACTTGGGACTCCTCAGACTGACGAAGCCCACTGGATAAAGGGTGAAACGCCTTTCACTAAAAATAAACTGTCCAGATGACCTGATTGACCATTATTGGATTTTTTACCTGGATGTTGAACATGAACTTTGATTTCATGTTTTAATGTATTTACTGATTTTTATTATTGTATAATAAACAAAAAAGAAGGAATTTTTATTCATACCTGTCTACTTGGATGCCTCCTCAGTGGGTAGATAGTAAAGTGGATATGAAGGTAGAACTCAAGGTTTTGCACCTCAGCATCTGTGTCTTTTACCTCAGAGGGAATATTCTCTGTCCACACTTCAAAAAACACCTTGTGGTCTCCATCATCAAAAGAACTTAGAAGATCATTCTGGTAAAGTCACATTTAAACAAAGAAAGTTTGCAGACAATATTACTCCCAATATGGTGTTTTTTTAAAGCATATGACTCAGTTTTATTTGATGTACAATATGTGTACATGTGTACATATATGAAGAAAAAAGAGAGCAAAGTAAATATAGTATAAGTTTTTAAAACATGAATAGGCTGTAGGTTGTGTACACACTTCTTTTAGTAAGCATTGTTTCATTTCCCCCTCTTATTTCTTATCTATTTTCAGAACATCTTCAGAAAATAAACCAAAGTAAAAGAACAGGTTTTAGAAACTATGACTTTTACCTGAATGACATGAACCTTGGAGTCTCTGAGAGCAGTTCCTTTTGGCTTTGAGACAAGCTTGCCTTTCATTTTGCACTCCTTGTCAAAAATTTGAATAGTCTTTTCAAATTCCTCAAACTTAAGGTACTACAAAAGATAGAAACAAGCTTCAATTAACTACATCTTAACCAGGGATGCAAAACAGGGGAATATACATTTACATGGACATATTCCCCTGTCCCAAAGCATGTTACCTCTTTGATCATCCCAAGAAGACCAGCTTCTGCTGCCAAGATGTCTCCCATCTTGGCTGGCTCCCTGAAACTCATGTGAGTGCAAAAACATTAAAGATCTCCTTGGACTGGAAAGCTTTCTCTACTTTCATTCATTAACCTTTATAATTCAGGGAACATTACAGGAAGCTGCAAGAAAAGGATAGAAAACTAAGTAAGAAATGGTCATATAAACAATCTTAAGCAAAGGAAAAACTGCAACAACCTATGCAACTATTTTTTTTATTAGGAAAACTTGTATTTCTTTAATCTGAATTTCAAGTAAACTTACAACATTATTCAGTGATATTTGGCCACTTGGCAATTCATTTATGCTGTATTATAAACAAGACATTTAGGGGCAGCAGCATCGTAGTCAAAGATTTGTAAAGCTAATACGACCTAGCTAATCATACACCAAAAAATAAAAATCAACATCATTCTTTACCTCTTTCGCACGTCAGTTGAGTTAGAAAATTGGCATATACGTTATACTTTGATGAGTTAATCCATACCTAAGATTTAAAAAATACATTTTCGGCTGTTCTTCACTCGCTGTTTTAATTATATCAGTCAACTAACATTTAGCTAGCAACCGCGGACAAAAAGGACGCTAAGGACTGTAGCAACTGTTGGTAGGTCGTAAAGTGAAGGTAAATGCCGTAAAGATAAAACAAAAAAGCTTTCTATTTTACAAAACATTTTTTTTAATGTGAATACATTGTTATGTATTTTAATTTAGGAAGTTTTACATACTTATTATTGTTCAGTGGTCATTTTTGAATTTATTTATTGACTTATTTTCATCTTTACGAAAAACTTTTATTTTCTTAACTGGAAGTACTTCCGTGTTAAAGGTTGAACACATTGTTCATGCGCGGTACTGTATGTTTAATGTAGCAATGAATTAAACTATATTCGAAAAAACAAGTAAATAAAAAATTGCGCTCATCCCGAACTCATTTTCGACTAGAACAGCGTGACTGCGAGTTCCGTGTCTTTTTCACATTTTATTTGAGGTAAGCGTAAAAACGAAGCTGTTTGCTAAAGCTAACAGTTAGCAAAGAGGGAAATGAAGTAGAAGTTTAATATGATAAAACTTTATTACTATCGGTAATTGATATAAACCTGCTAATCATACTTTTTATATAAAATGCATCAGCGTTTATATAAGTTTCAGTTATTTATTTTGCTTAGAGAATTTTTCATTTTCCTAAAATTGCAGTATTCACTAGTATGCATGCATGTGTGTATATATATATATATATATATATATATATATATATATATAT